TGAAAGTTACCATTTCCTCTTCTCTTATAAGGTTTTATGATTAAGAAATGAAAAAAATATAAGCAAAATGCTACATTTTGGCTGAACAAAATTTTCTATACAATGTCCAATAGTGCACATTGCCACAGTTTATTAGATGGCAGCATACCTTAAATATAGAGATAACATTGATTGCAAATTTCAAACTGTGTTGAAAAGTGAAATTCCAAGGGAGAACATATATAGGATATTTGTGCCAGAACTACTTCCCAACAGCAATATTGAAAAGAAATGAAAAATAATTTTTCTAATTGGAAATACATGGGGAATATAAGGTAGGAAGAATTTAATTAATAGATTTGGAGTAAAGTCAGAACTGCAGGGTTAATACCTTTGCTTTTTCAAAGAGTGCCGTGGGATCTTGAATGCCTACAGTGGTCAATAGAACTGGCAAGTTTTACTCTGGATTAATCATAAAGCAGCTTTAAAAGTTTATTTGTGGATAATGTTTTATGAAAACTATGTCGTGTGATTTTAGGTGTTTTTTTTTTTTTGGCGAGTGATATAGTTCAACACAATATGACAATATTGAATGTCTTTCTTAGGAGAAATTATCAGTGGCCAATAAAAGTATTTCAAAATATTAATTATGCCAACATTTACAAAGCACAGCAAGTGAAATTTCTTAATGTATTTTTAAATAAGTGCATTCATTTTAATACTTCTAATTCATGTGTGTGTATGTTTTGCCCTTCGTTGTTTTAAACTTTTAAGGTCAGGGGTAAAAGTGCAGGTTTGTTACATAGGTAAACTTGTGTTATGGGGGTTTGTTATACAGATTATTTCATCACTCCAGTATTAAGCTGAGTACCCATTAGTTATTTTTCCTGATCCTCCCCCACCTCCCACCCTGAACTCTCCAATAGGACCCAGCCAGTGTGTGTTCCTGTGTTTTTATCAATTAGCTTCCTCATAGTGAGAACGAGCAGTATTTCATTTTCTGTTCCTGCTCTGGTTTGCTAAAGATAATGGTCTCCAGCTCCATTCCTGTCCTTGAAAAGGATCTAATATTCTTTTTGTACGGCTGTATAGTATTTTACCATGTATGTGTACTACATTTTTTTTTCTAGTCTATCACCGATGCGCATTGACATTGATTTTGTATATTTGCTACTGTGAATAATACTGCAATGAGCTTACACATACATGTGTCTACCTCATATAACAATTTATATTCCTTTGGGCATACATCCAGTAATGGGGTTGCTGTGTCGAGTGGTATTTGTCTTTAGCTCTTTGAGGAATTGCCACACTGTCTTCCACAATGGTTGAACTTACTTACACTTCCACTAATTCACAATCCTAGCTGATTCTTAACCAATCTATGGCAGAATGTAGTTAAGTACCAACTTCCCACCATGCATAGTAATATAACCCATTCATATTTAATATGAAGCATTTAAAGTAATATGGACATGTATGGAAACCATAATAATTCGTGCCCTAGTATCTCATGAAAAATGGTTCACCTCATTTCTAGAAGAAAAGTTGCTTGAGTTATAAGAATTTTGTGATCATCTGATAATTGCTGTGACAAACCCTTGCCTTGAAAAAACAGTAAAGTCTAGCTCAAGAAATAATTTCCTATAAAAAGATAACAATATTCAAGACACAAGAGGTAAAAACAAGCAGTATTTTTTGTTTTCTTTTTGAGACAAGTTATCTGTCACTCAGGCTGGAGTGCAGTGGTGTCATCACAACTCACCGCAGCCTAACCTTTTGGGCTATAGTGGTCCTCCGACCTCAGCCTCCTGAGTAGCTGGGACTACAGGCATGCCATCATGCCTTGCTAATTTTTATATTTTTGTAGAGACGAGGTCTCATTATGTCAGCAGACTGATCTCAAACCCCTGAGCATGGGTAACACTCTGCCTTCCAAAGTGCTGGAGTTACAAGCATGTACCACTGCCTCTGGCACAGAAAGTTCTTAATTTTTGAAACAAAAGCCACATAAAATACTATGGTTTATATTTGAAAATAGGATTGAATTATTTTTACATTGATCATAATACTTTGACAGTAAATTTAAGAAACTTAATGATTTATTTACTAACTCTTTTAACATAAAGAACGCATAGACTTAAGTTAGTCTGTCCAGGCTGCCATAACAAGAAGCCACAAAATGTGTTAACTTAAACAGTCAAGATTTATTTTCTCACAGTTCTGTAGAAGCCCAATATCAAGATATCAGTAAGTTTGTTTTCTATTTTTTTTAAAGGAAAGAAAAAGAAAGAAAGAAAGAAGAGAAAAAGAAAGAAAAATAAATAAATTTTAAAAAATGAAGGAGAGGAAGAAAGAGGAAGAGGAAGAGGGAGAGTGAACCAAAGTGTTGTTTTATTGCCCAGACTAGAATGTAGTCTAAAAGTGGGTATTGAAAACCTCTTTTATACCAATAATCATGCTTAATAATGGAGACAGGAAAAATATGAGGAAAGAAAATAACAAACAAGCAGCCAACCAATATTTCATTTAAACCTGTGAGTAGGTGTGCTGTGGTGCTAATAAGAGTGTATGTTTTGTGTATTTAAAGTGGAGAGTTCTATAAGTGTTTATTAAGTTTACTTGTTCCGGATCTGAGTTCAAGTCCTGGATATCCTTGTTAATTTTCTGTCTCGTTGATCTGTCTAATATTGATGTTGAAGTGTAAGTTTGTTTTCTAATGAGGCCTCTGCTTGGCTTGTTGATGGTCTTCTTTATTGCTGTGTCTTCACGTTGGCTTTTCTTCTGTTCATTCATATCCTAAGTCTGTGCCTCTAAGGACACTAGCCATATTTTATGCATATGACCTCAATTAACTTTTACTTACTTTCCTAAAGACCCCATGTTTGACGACAGGACTTCTGTATACGGATGTTGCATAACATTCTACCCTATGCTCGCCTTAATTACCCATAACATTCTACATCTTGCTCCCCTAAAATTTAGTCCTTCTCACATGCAAAATACCTTCTCTCCATCCCAACAGCCCTTAAACGTATTAACCAATGCTAGCATGAGTTCTGAGTTCAAAGTTTCACCTAATGATCATCTAACTCAATAATATTTAGGACCTGAGGTACAATTTCTCCCGAGGCAAAATTCCTCTTTAACTGTGAACTTGCGAAACTAGATAAGTTATGTGTTTCTGAAGAACACTGGTGGGGCAGGCATAGGATAATATTTTCATTCAAAAAAGGAAATGAGAAAGAAGAATGGGTAATATGTCTCAAGCAAGTCCAAACCCAAGCCAAGTCATATTCCAGCAGAATAATCTCTTTTGGCTCAATTCTCTGCCTTCCAATTCTACTGTGTTGGCTCTTTGTGGTGGCCCTGTCTCAGAAAAAGGGCAGGGTAGCCTGTCCTCTAAAATTCCGTACAAAAAAGCTTTGCATCCTGGGCTTGTGGTAGGAGTGGCAGCCCCGATAATTTCTAAATTGCATTTATTTTCAGCCTTCCCTTTTCTTGATGAATAAAGCATGCTGACATCCAAATAGGTCTATTGTATTTTCCTGAGGAAACCCAGAAGTTGGTAAGCCTTCCTTTATTTCATCCCATTTCTGCTCCCATTTTGAAGAAATTGACAGTGACTATGCTTGTGTCATCCTATCACTCTTCCTGCTTTCTGTTGAGATGGTTAACTCCATGGATATCCAGCTTAGGGAGTGGTTATCCAGCCACATCTTTGGAGTTTTCTTTAAAACACGTTTCATTTTTTTCAAAATGGATAACTGAGATTTTTCCAAATCTTAGTCCTGATTTCTTTATGGTTAACAACTTATTCAATTTATTTTTCTTATCCTGTACTTTACATTAAGCAATAAAGAGAAATCAGGTCATATCTTTAACTCTTTGCTTAGAAATTTCCTTAGCTAAATATATGACTTCATTCCTTTTAAGTCCTACCTTCCAGGAAACACTAGAACATAGTTCAGCCACACTCTTTGCCACTTTATAACAAGGGTCTTCTTTCCTTCAGTTTCATAGCATGTCTCTTATTTCCTTTTGAGACCTCATCAGAATCACCATTAACATTCACGTTTCTACTATTAATCTCTTCAAGGGAATCTAATCTTATTTTAGAATACACTTAAAAATCTTCCAGTCTATACCCATCACCCATCCAAACACAAAGCCACTTGCACATTTTTAGGTGCTTGTTACAGCAGCATCCCACTCCTAGTACCAGAATCTCTCTGGGTCTGCTTGAATTGCTGTAATACCACAGATTAACTAGTGAAAACAATACAGATTTATTCTCTCTGAGTTCTAGAGGCTAGAAGTCCAAGATCAAGGTACTAGCATGAATGGTTTCTCATGAGGTTTTTTCCTGGCAGACGGACAACTGCCTTCTTGCAGTGTCCTCATGTGGCTTTTCCTCTGTGCACAGGTGGAAACAGAGCTCTGGTGTCTCTTTCTTTTTTTATAAGGACACATGTCCTATCGGATTAGGGATTCACCCTTATGACATCCTTTAACCTTAGCAACCTGCTTAAAGGCCCTATGTCCAAATATAGTCACTTGTGAGTTAATGCTTCAACATAAGAATTTTGGGAGGACACGGTTTTGTCTACAACAACATATATGTGATAATTATATATCTACCTGAATTGTTTTCTTTGCAATAAAAATATGAACAGTATTAGAATGTCTTTTTGAAGGAAAATCTAACATATTTGGGAAAATACTCAAAATGGTTTTATGAAAGAAACTTCAGAGTGAGTAATGTCAGTAGATTATTTTTACTCACAATAATATACATGAATTTTTCTAGAAGTTGAATTGTACAAAGTAGACTTGTATTTTGATACGTGATCTAAGACACAGTCATGTACCACATTACAATGTTTTAGTCAATATGTAGCCTACAAACGGTGGTCCTATGTGATAACAGCTGAAAATTCCTTATTATTAAAATGTTATTTTGTTCCTAATATTGAAAAGTCAACATTTTTCTTCTACGTATTTTACTCATAAGCATAGGAAAATATTACAGGTCTCATTGTCACCTTTGCAATAGGCATTCTGTGACGGAAGCATAAACTGTCTCAGTTTAGCCACATTAATTATTTTTGGACACCATGGTCAACAGTGCCCATTCTCATCAAGAATGAGGCTTACAATAATATATTTTATGTATCATATTAATATTGTGCATGCACACACACATATCCCTCAATATATGATATTCAACTTCCCCCAAATTCTTCATATTACTCTTTTGGTTACATCAAAATGGAATGATAAAAGTGAATTAAGATGTGGCATATGGATCAGAAAAGTAAAACATAATTCACCATGAATAAGATTCTACTTGTTAAAACTGTTCATGTTATTTTATATTAATATTTATCATTTGTTTCTTGTACCTGTCACAAACTTAATCACTTAATTTGCCTGTAATTCTATCAATACAGCAGGTAAAGCCTAAAGTGCATTTAAACGTTTGGTGTCAAATCAAATCTCCAATATTACACTTTATCACCATATCTAACTATTAAAATATACATTATTGTGTTTCAATATGCTGGCTTGACTGCTATTATGAGTGAAATAAATAATATTCCCTAGCACTGTAACAAAGAAGATTATTGAAAAGAGATAAAGAGGTGTTGGATAAAGAGGTGAGAAATCTGTTGCAAGAAGAGGCTTAGTTTAGAGACCATTTCTGCCACTGAATATTGTACCTACAAACAAAGAAAAAATTTTCAATTTTATTCTGAATAGACAAAGATTGCTCTCCTTATATTGGTTTGTTCAATTCACATGTATTCATCTAGATAAAAATATTATATATTATTTTATGCAATTAGAAAACAGCTTATATGCCCCAGTTTTTTCTACTTTATACAGCCTCACTACAACTTATAGACTAACTAATACATGTTCTTGGTTCGAAATAAGAAAGCTAAGAATTAGTTGATTATAAAAGTATAGATTAGGATAGTTACGAAAAAGTTAATGAAAAAATCAACAAATGCATTTGTTGAACATATGCCATGAAGGAAACATGCTATTTTTTGTAAAAAATAAGACTGCATTTATTGTGATTTATTTCACCATCACTAAGACACTGTAGGAATTTCTAACCTTCTCTGTATGTGCAATATAAATTATTACTCCTTTGTTTTATATTTTATGAACATAATATTGTTTCAAAATATATTATGTTTTCAACAGGATATTAAGCCTTTCTTTTATATAATATTTATATAAAATTAGAAAATATTTAATTTTATACAAATTCTCCACCCACTATAAGGATAGATGTAATAAATAACATATTGATATATATAAATAATATATATAATATATATCCTTGTAGTCTGCATGTGTGTATATATATACACATATGTGCCTGTGTGTGTATGTGTGTGTGTAACTTTATGCACACACACAGACAACACACAATATACACACAGATGTTGTCTGTGTGTATATACACTTGTATATATACACATATGGTCAATCATTTTAGATTCTCAGGATATAGTGTTACTCATTTAAAATATTTAAAGTGATAGTATTCTAAACTGGGAATTCATTCATTTATTAGTTTGATGTGATTAAATTAATTACAAAGATTGAATATTTTGCTTTCTTTTGTTGATGTGATTTTTAAAATAAACTATATTTTGTTACTTACCTTGCTGATTATGTAGAACAGACATTCATAACTTGAGCTTGCAACATATACAGTTAGAAAACTACATAAGATAATTATCACCAGATTTTTGACAAGAGGAAGCACCATACTGTAATCTCTAACAGATGGAAACAAAGAAAATTGAGAGCCCAGTCACTCTGGCTTTATGCTTTAAGGCAATTTCAGAAATGCAAGGACATGGAGAAGGTATTCAATATGAGCCCAACAGTTTAACTGAGTTAAAAAAGATAATTAGCATTCAGAAAGTCTAAGGAAGCTTGAAGTCAGAGGACAGAGTTCCAAGAAGGATATATATAGTAAAAGAATCTCAGAGATTCTTTGCTATATATTGGACTGAACATTTATAAATGCGTCCCCCTTTAAAAAGAATGGAAAATTGTAAACTGAACTATTCCCAGAGCTTACACAGGTTGGATTGACTTTCAAGTTTTGACCAGCCAAGGTGAAGAGTTGTTAGGTATCTACTGGGGCATTCAACTTATGGGGACACACTCAGTGTAAGGTGAAATACACCTGTTAGTATGTATTTCAGTCCTATATTAGCAAAGTTTACAAGCAGATAACTGATTTGAAAGTAATTTAACTGCTTCAACAATAAAAGTCACAAATTTCTTTTTATAATGGAAAACATGATATTCAAACATTTAAAAAACATAATATGTACAATTTTTGGCATCAAATATTTTGTTTCTAGACAAGCCAAAAGGCATAAATATGTGTGTCGAAACTCCTAAGGAAACTACAAAAAAATAAAAACTTACTAAAATTAATCGGAGCATTTAGTCAGTGAGACAATCAGCAGAAAATGTCACAGGATACAAGGGGAATATAAAATATTAATTATAATTTTATACATTAGCAACAAACAATCAAAAAGGGAGATTTTAAAGGTAGTGCTCATAACACCATAATAAATAAAACACAAAAATTTAACAAAGATTCAAACCTGAAACTATAAAACATTGCTGAGAAAAACTAACAAACATAAATGTATAAAAAATTTGATGTTAAGATAAAAATTCTTCCCAAATTGAAGTATAAATGCAACCTCAATCAATATTAATCACACGAGACTTTGATATAAAACTAAAGCGATAATAAAATTTATATGAAAATCCAAAAAATATTGAATAGTCAAAACATTTCTGAATTCAAGATTTATTATTGTCCTATAGTAATCAATAAAGTTTGGTATTGAATTAAGGATAGAAATAGATTGATCAAACAGAATAGACTCTGAAATAGATCCATATATACATGACAAAGGGTGCAGTTAAGTCAATGGCCCAAATTAGTATTTTCAACAAACAGAGCTGTAATTCCCAGATATTCCAACAATAAAAGATTTTAGCTTAACCTTTATCTTTTACTATGAATAAACACACATGTTCTCTTGCTCTCTCTCTCTCTTTCTCTCTCTCTCTCTCACTGCAAATAGTCAAAATGGAGCATAAAACTAAGGATAAAGTCTAAAACTACTATATTTCTAAAAGGAAACATAGGGAACAAATGTTGATGATCTTGAGGTAAGCCAAAAAAGAAAAAACATTAAAGACAGCAAAAAAATCCCAAACAGTATAAGAGGAAATATAAAGATTGTAGTTCACCAATACTAAAACATTTTACTATGAAAAAGACAAATTAGAGAAATAAAAATTGAAGTCACATAGTAGGTGAAATGATTAATAATACATCTCAACAAACTACTAGTATCCAAATCAATGAAACTCTTACAAACTTGTAATAAAAAGACAACTCAATCTGAACAGATATTTCGTAAAATATACAGATAACCAATAAGGACATGAAAATAGGCTTAACAACATTAGTCATCAAGCAAATGTTAATTGAAGCTACAAAAAGATAAGACTACATCCACACTACAAGCTACATTATATTATAATAGGTAAATTAAAATGATTGGCAGTACCTAGTGTTGGCCAAGATGTACAGTTGGGAAATTCTCCTGGCCAGAACACAAAAGGTTAAATCCTCTTTGGCAAAGCACTATGGGAGTTTGTTCTAAAGTTTGATATGGGTTTAATATATGATTCAATAATTATCCTCCTGCATATATTAATCTTGAAGACATTATGAATAAATCTGAATAAGTTTATATAGAGAAAAAGAAACCAAACCCAGAGGAGCATATACTATACCTTCTAATTATCCATAATTCTAGGCAAGACAAATCTAATCTACAGTGACAGAAAGCAGGTCAGTGGTTACTAGCTCCAGGTGTGTTTAGAGGGAAAATAATGAGAAAGTATCACAAGAAATGTTGTCATTGTTATGGAAGCATTTGTGTTTTAATTGTAGTGCTGGTTATCTAAACATACACATTTGCCAAAACTCATCAATATGGGCATTTAAAATGAGTATACTTTATTGTTTAAATTGCACCTCACTGAAATTTAGTTTAAAAATATACATTATGAGTTTATTTTAAACTAGAAATTTTTTATTTTTGGTTTAGTGCTTTCGAGAGAGAGACAGAGTTCATTTTTAGCTAAAATTTAGAGCTTTTTAGAATACAACCTCATAAAAGACATATTATTATAATTTGTTTTGAAAATAGTTCACGGCATTTTTATTCTGTGAGATACGCTAAAGACTACAACCAATCACATAATTTACAAATTTGAAATTAAGCATGTTTTAGAAATACTAAGATTCCTTACTTCACAAAAGGGAGAACACATTTAGAAATAAAATGTTTCACTAACACAACTGCTAATTTTCATGTATGAATATTTAGCAAAATTAATTTCTGCTTTCAAAACATTATAAAATGTAAAATGTACAGATGCATACTTTTTATTTGGTCTTCTTTAAGCTATAGCACAAAAAACAGATTTTATAGTCCTCATCAATTTTCTGGTAAAAAAGATTGATTGATAAAGGGGATATGCTCCCAGTGATAAATGTATTATAAATCTTTCACAGATTTATTATCATCATCTAAAAGCTATCTGAATAGTTAATGAAATTTCCCTCTTTCCGATAATCATTTGCATAACAAATCACCTCAATACTTAGTAGAGCAAAACAATGGCAATATTGACTTTTACTTGCAAATCTCCAAGTGGAGTAGGTCTTGGTGGGGACTTCTCTGCTTGGCACAAACTGGGGTGGCATGAAGTTTGGAAGTAAGACTCATGTGAGGGTTTTCTCACATTGAGTAGTTGATGCATGCTGTCAGGTGAGATCAACTAACATCGTCACTTCTTCTCTTACTCAAAGTATGGTGGCTGGGTTTCAAGTGGAGTATCTTGAGAGAGAAGGACAGAGAGAGAGAGACAGAAGACAGAAATGAAAACTTCTGTCACCACTTTGGAAAAGTATTGGCAGAATATACTATCAAACTATACATACACTATAACCCAGAAATCTAATACAGAAATACATTTATAGTGGAACACATGTACCAGAATTCTAATAGTAGCATTTA